ATTTTCAAGGATACATCTCCGAACGCACCATTTTTCCATAAAATATTTAATTTCGGAGATGCATGTCTGAAAATATCTTATTTTCTTAATGAAAAAAGATATTTTCGGAGATGCATATCCGAATAAATGTTTTTTTTACGAAAAAAGGTATTTTTTGATATACATCTCTGAATAAAAAATTTTTTTACAAAAAAAAGTATTTTCGGATATGCATATCTGAAAAGTTTCCTGTTGTGTTTTTTGTTAACTTAGTATTTGGATGTATCCAGATTAACACACCTAGTAGTCATGCATCAATATACAACAAATATGTAAATACCAACAATTTTCCTATTGAGAAAAACAATTGGAAAATAGAAAAACTATTAAAATAAAATTAAAAAATCTGAAAAATAGAATTAAAAATCAAATTAAGTGTCTACAAATTTTTTTGGATTTTTTCGAAAATATGAAACGGAAAATAAATCAAATAAAATATAAAAACAAGGAATTTAGGATTTTAAGGATGGTGTCCTGTATTTTGTGTCAAAATAAGGGACTTTGATCCCAGATTTTTTTCAAATGAATTGGCACGGTAAAATTTTGATCATAGTCAATTTTCCAAAAAATCGAGTTTTCTATGTTAGGTCGCATAAAGGCCAGAAGCGCATAAACACAAGGACCAGAATGCGAGGATACAATTCATATGATTCTAATATTGGCTAAAATCGACAGAGAGTCTCCGAAAACTGCGCTAATTTCAATGAAAATGCATAGTAAATGAGTTCAAAAGTGTTTTCAGATATGTATCTTTGAATTCACTTTGGAAAATTTCAAAGATGCATCTTCGAACCAATTTGTTTCTTATTTTATAAAGGGTATGTTCGAAGATGTATCTCTAAATAAATCCAAAAACATTTTTGGGTTTTCAAAAATACACTCCAATATATAAGGGTGTAATGAGAAATTGTCAAAACTAATCCCCAAATAAGAGAATCTCTTAATACACCCTTATATGGTGAACTAAACCTCTAAAACCCCCAAAATACCTTTCGGGGATGCATCTTCGAACGCACCTTAAATTAATTTTCAAGGTGTTTCAGAAATGCATGTGCGAAAACACCCATGTTTACACATTATTATTTGAACATTGTATTTAAACATTCAGTGATATTTTCAAAAATGCATCTTCGAAAGCATCCTAAAGATGTGAGAATAGGTGTTTCAGATATGCATATCTGAAACACTAGACATAATGTTTTTTTAAACATCAATGCTGGTATGTATTAAACATAAAGATTTGATACGCAATTCGGCTAAAACGTTAATAAACTTGCAAACGGTAAATGATACGAACATAACACTGAATTATTCAAAAATATTGAATAATAATACATAAATTGTTCAGAAACTACGGAGTTTTAAATTATTAGATCGGTAAATAAAAAAAGGCATAGCCTACTGAATATGCCTAATCCTAACCCCCTGGCCCCTCCTCTGCCTCTTATATCTCGCCTCACTCGATGCCTCCTTAACCATCCTCTCTATGATGGACACTACCTCAGAACTGTCCTTCTCAATGATCCCTAAGTCCAAAGCCTCCTTCCCAATCAAATGTATTCACTGAAAAATTGGTAAGACATCAATGGCATGGTCATCCTAGGTCTGCTGGCTCTCCAAGATCTCCTCATGAGCTGGCCTAGGTAGACATTCAAGAGTATATGGTGTCATGATAGGGTGTGACACTGTGTAGAGACATATCATGTACCTCTCTACACAATGCCAACTGCTAGTTGCTTGCATCATCTAATACTCCTCTGGTACCATATGATTATGCTAATCCTAGAAGATGTCATCGAGCTCTTGGCGGACAATGGTGTCACGAGAAGCCTGAAAGGGACATCTGGGTATGGTTTGTACATAGTCAAACTGTCAGATGCATCACTCTGGAAGATACCCAACCATAGTGTTAGTCTCACATGCCAGCCACCCTGAGTATAATGAGATGGGGTCGAAGGGGACAATCTTTATGTGATCATCAAACATCATCCAAATGATATCATCATGAACAGTCTGATCAAGATACACTAAGAACAGCGACATAACATGATTCCCTCTGTGGAGGATATACATGGCAGCCCTCGACATCTCCTTACTATATTGCAGATCAAAATCGAAACCATGAATGCGGTGGAAGTGAGAAATGATACACCTCTTAAAAACGAATAAGAGTTATGTAAGAACAAATTATTAATAGTAAATAAATTTAATAGTTAGAATGAAAGGTACCGTGAGCAGTGTGCAAGATCCTGTTAGCTACCTCGTCCTTTAGTTAGAAGCTTCATTCAACTTTTGGTATAAGTATGCCAAACAACCATCCCCCAGTTCCACTCCCTAATTGTATCTAAATCCATGAAGTACTGGAGATATGTGACATCCATGTAGGTTGCACTTTTATCCACAAAAATGGATGTGTCAACTAAGAACATGAAGTAACACCGCAAAGCACACTTGTGATAGTACTGAACAAAGAATTCATTACCCACGCTCTCGAAAGATGCTTCTGCAACCAGGTGCTTTGCATATAGGTCGCTCAGGAATGAGAACTTAGGATGAACCCCATTAGTTGAGGAACAATGTTCACCGGCCTTTTCTAGTTGAGCTCCCAAATACTCGACCATCAATTTAAATGAAAAAGTGTAATATAAAATATACCTCTCTATCCCAAACATGTCGAGCGGCGTGATTATCGTAATAGATTAAGAGGGAGGTTTCAGAGGGCACTCTTGGATACCCAAGGTTTGCTTACTCCATTGTTGCACGTAGCCGTGCAACTGGTGTATCATGGACAACATGTGCCTAAACCTCAATCTCCTCGGGTTCCTGGGCCTGAACATTAACCTCATCGGATTCTTGCTCATCATCACGAGACGAGGACGCATGAGACAGACGACTCCTCAAAGCATAAGTGGATGCTCCCATCATTTCTTCTTGTAGTACCTGACCCTGTCTTCGACCCCTAGTAGACTGCTTAACTCTCCCACGCTAAGTAGAGGCGGTCTGACTTGGCCTGCCAAGTCTTAATCTGTTGTTTGAGTTCTCAGCCATTTTCCTAAAAAAATAATCATTACTCAATAAGTTTGAAAAAATTAAGAAAAAAATAAAACAACTCAGGCATAATTTCAAACGTGCTTATCCGAAAATACTCAGAGGGGTTTTCGGACAAGCACATCTAAAAACACCTACGACGCCATTTTTGGACCTTTAACCTAAATCACCCAAAAACTTCATTTACACACCCCAAACAATCACATTTTACAAGTTATACTTCAACCTGGTAAATTGAAATGATTCTAGATAACCTATTATACACATGCAAAGTAGAACAATGGATTTGGAGAAACTTACTCAAACTCAAAACTTTGAAGAGCTGTTGAAATGAGTTGAATGAGGTATGGTTCTTGAAAGTCTTAGAATTTTTTTACAAATGCTTCAATATTTTGCTCAAAGAAGTTTGGGTAACTTGGAAAATTGAGAATTTGGGTGTTTGGGTGTGGACAAAATCCTAAACCATAAATCCTAAACCCTAAACTTGTTCGGAGCCAAAATATATTAAACACATTTTGGATATACATCTCCGAAAACTCTCTAAAATTAAATAATGGGGTTTTTTAAAAATACATATAGGAAACTCTCTGATCTTGACAAAAAGATTCTTTCAGACATGCATATTTGAATAAATTCCTCTAAATATATAATATGGCGAAGTCATATATATATATATATATATATATATATATATATATATATATATATATATATATATATATATATATATATATATATATATATATATATATATATATATATATATATATATATATATATATATATATATATATATATATATATATATATATATATATATATATATATATATATATATATATATATATATATATATATATATATATATATATATATATATATATATATATATATATATATATATATATATATATATATATATATATATATATATATATATATATATATATATATATATATATATATATATATATATATATATATATATATATATATATATATTCTAAAACTATTTTTGACTTTTCACTAAATGCTTCAAAGTAAGTATAAGAAAATTTGAAAGAAATTCTCTCAAATAATAAGTCACTTGGGCTTTTTGACAACAAATTAAGTCATTTGGGCTTTGCCCACCTTCAAATGAATATACTAGTAGTATCTTGACAAAAAATAATGACGTCATATATTGCACTTTTTAACTGTCAGCCAATGTCTGAGTGCACAATACCTCTTTTGGAACTCAACAAAATTCCACAATGTCCACCTATTAATATACATCCAATAACAAACGTCGTTTACCGTCAAAATATAATAATTACACGTCACAAATAAAAAAACTCACCCATAAACAAATAAACAAATTAATAATACAACTACACAGAATTAAAACATTACACACACAAAAATATTTTCCTTTTGATTTCTTCCCTTAAATAGTTAGCAAAATTATTGCACTTCAATACAAAACCAATTAAAATTAAAAATAAAATTCCAAACAAGAATAAAATGAAAAAGAAAAAAAAAGTAAGAGACAAGGACAAAGTAAGACCCACCAAAACAACCAGAAAAAAACAAACACAAAAACGCATAAACAACAATCACACGAGCGCGTGTGCACCACTCTCAAATCATCACGTCTAAACCTTCGGACGTGTCAGTTCTATTCCATCTCCTACATTAAAAAATGTTCCCCACGCGCCAATGTTGATCGCGTGAAAAAGGTGAGTTTCTCTTCACTCTCATTCGCTTTGCCATTTCAGTCTCACTCTCTCTTTAACAATGCTTCTCACAATTCTGAATCATAAAAAAAAACCTCTTCAAGTTCACGAAGATGAAACAAAACACAGAAACATAACGTTAAAGTTAACGTCCGTTACTGTTACCGTTTACCGTTTACCGTTAGAGTTTGTATAATAATGGCGGCTAGTACTAATACGACGCCGTCTATCGTAGACACGAATTCGTCTGAAGAAGCAACAGCGAAAGCTATTCAGAAACGTTACGAAGGTTTAGTTACGGTTCGTAACAAAGCGATTAAAGGAAAAGGTGCATGGTATTGGTCACACCTTGAACCGTTACTCGTGCACAACAACGAAACGGGACTTCCAAAAGCCGTTAAGTTACGGTGTTTTCTATGCGACGCCGTTTTCTCCGCTTCAAATCCTTCGCGAACAGCTTCAGAGCATTTGAAACGCGGAACTTGCCCTAATTTCAATTCCGCAGCAAAACCTATTTCGTCTGTTTCGCCGGAAACTGGCTCCGGTGCCGGTGCTATTGTTGTCGTTTCTTCTCCGCCGTCTTCTTCTGTTCACCGTCGTAAGAGAAGCTCGTCTCCTCCTCCTCCTCCGCCGCCGGTGATGCAGCAGTATGGTGCGGATCCGTTACGGGCTGTTTCGGGTCTGTTGCAGCCGCAGCAGCAGCAACAGCATTTGATGTTGTCTGGTGGGAAAGATGATTTGGGAGCTTTGGCTATGTTGGAAGATAGTGTGAAGAAGCTGAAGAGCCCTAAAACTTCGCCCGGTGTTGTTCTTCATAAGACGCAAGTTGATAGTGCTATTGATTATTTAGCGGATTGGGTTTATGAATCGTGTGGTTCTGTTTCTTTTTCGAGTTTGGAGCATCCCAAGTTTCGAGCTTTTCTTACACAAGTAGGTTTACCACCTGTTTTTCCTAGAGAGTTTGTTGGGTCTAGGTTGGATTCCAAGTTTGAGGAAGTGAAATCTGAATCAGAAGCGAGGATTCGAGATGCTATGTTTTTTCAAATGGCTTCGGATGGATGGAAGATTAAAGATTATGAGAGTGATCAGAAATTGGTGAATTTGACTGTGAATCTTCCAAATGGGACAAGTTTGTATAGAAGAGCTGTCTTTGTGAATGGTTCTGTTCCTTCAAACTATGCTGAGGATGTTTTGTGGGAGACAATTAGTGGCATTTGTGGGAATCTAGTTCAGAATTGTGTTGGGATAGTTGCCGACAAGTTCAAATCAAAGGCATTGAGAAACTTGGAGAATCAGAATCATTGGATGGTTAATCTCTCTTGTCAGTATCAAGGTTTCAATAGTTTGATCAAGGATTTTACGAAAGAGTTTCCTTTGTTTCGTACCGTGGCTGAGAATTGTATCAAGCTAGCGAATTTTGTTAACTACAACTCCCGAATTAGAAACAGTTTTCACAAGTTTCAAATGCAGGAGTACGGTCACACTTGGTTGCTTCGAGTTTTTCCAATGAGGGAATTTGAGGATTTTAACTTCGAACCTGTTTATGTAATGATCGAGGATACATTGAGTTCGGTCCGCGCTTTGCAGTTGGTTCTCCTTGACGAATCGTTCAAGATGGTATCCATGGAAGACAGGAATGCTATAGAAATCGGCGAAATGATTCGTGACGTCCGTTTTTGGAATGATTTAGAAGCTGTACATGGTTTGGTTAAACTGGTGAAAGACATGGCTAAGGAAATTGAAACAGAAAAGCCATTAGTTGGACAATGTCTTCTCCTATGGAATGAGTTAAGAACAAAAGTGAAAGATTGGTGTTCGAAATTCAACATTGCAGAAGGAGCAATCGAAAAGTTAATCGAAAGACGGTTTAGGAAAAACTATCACCCTGCTTGGGCTGCTTCATACATTCTTGACCCTCTTTACCTAATAAGAGACACAAGTGGAAAGTACCTTCCACCATTTAAGCACTTAACACCGGAACAAGAGAAAGACGTCGATAGACTCATAACAAGGCTTGTTTCGAGAGACGAAGCACACATTGTTCTAATGGAACTCATGAAATGGAGAACAGAAGGGCTCGACCCGGTTTACGCGCAAGCCGTACAAATGAAGGAACGAGATCCTATTACCGGGAAAATGAGGATTGTTAATCCACAAAGTAGTAGACTTGTTTGGGAAACTTATTTAACCGAATTCAAATCGTTAGGAAGAGTTGCTGTGAGGCTAATATTCCTTCATGCAACTTGTTGTGGATTCAAATGTAGTTGGTCTTTGTGGAAATGGATTTGTTCTCATGGACACTACAAGACTTCACTTGATAAGGTTCAGAAGTTGATTTTTGTTGCAGCGCATTCTAAATTGGAAAGAAGAGATTTTTCAAGTGATGAAGATAAGGATGCAGAGTTTTTCACCTTCGCAAATGGTGAGGATGATGTGTTGAATGATGTTCTTGTTGATAGTTCATCAGTGTAACAATTTTTTTTTTTTTATTTAGTTAATTTCATCAGGTAGGAATTTTATATTTTTTAGAATTTATTTTTGAATTCTTTTCACTACCCTTTTCTCTTTTCTGCCACATGATTTTGAGAATTTCCTCACCTTTTAATGTAACACTAGAAGAAGAAAAAAGTGCACTAGAAATTGGTGATTACTAAGGGTGAAGGATGTTGTAGAAATTCTATTATATTTATTCTATTCTATTCCTCTAGTAATTTGTTCAGATAATAGAATAGAATCTTCTGAGTTATCTATCTGTTGTTACATTTGTAAATTCTGGAAAGGTGTTATGCTTTCAATCACACACATAAATTGAAGTCTGTCTAATTCAAAGCAAAATCAGCTTTTTGTCTCTCAAGTCAAAGGGGAATGTGGTACTAAAGACTCTCTTCTAAGTTACTTTTTGGTCACTTAATTACTCACATTGTTGAATCTTCAAAACATTCACCTTGTGTCCAGATTTGCAGCACATAATAATGTATACAATGCCATCTGACAAGTAACAATTTGTTGCTGATGAACAACCTTAAACATGAAAGATTTTGTGATACTTATAAAAATCGCATCAAGCGTTAACATAAACATCATATACTTAATATAATTTAAAAAACAAAAAAAGTAATTGAATATAATAATATGTGTCGATGTTATTTAAAAACTAAAATTAATTGAATGTAATTGTATAATGCTAGTGTCTTGTACTCGTGTTAGTGTTACTATTAAAATAGAGACATGACATAGGTTAAGTTACACTTGTTGAAGTTATACTCCAATTATGTAATCACTGGAGTCTTTGATTCTACCTAGGAACACAATAGTGTTAAACAGCAACTGTGTACTAGTACTTGTCAAGAACTTCACTGTTTAGATGTTGAAAAAACATGAAGAGACTGTCATTGAATACTTGAATTATTGGTATTTGGTAGACATTTTTTGGCCATTATCACGAGGAGTTAACCAAAAGAATCCAAGAAAGGATTTGACTTCAATTATATTAATTTTTGCATTAACATATTCAGACAATTAATTAATATTTTGAAATAGCTATGAAAAAATTACAAAACTAAATACTAAAATCATTTAAGAGTTTAAAGCTACATTATGTAAAATAGTTTTATACACCAACATATATGTGTTTAGTTACATCTCTTTACTATATCATTTTCTAATATTAATATTAGTAACTAGATATACGGTTCATAATGTTCGAAGTCTTTATTTTTTTTTTGGGTCAAGCTTTGAAGTCGTTATTTTATAAACCTGTAAAAATAAACCTGTAAAATCTTTTTGGGCATTGAAGAGTCTTTAGTGGTCAAGCATAGGGTTTGATTTCAATGGGACAAGTCTACCTCCTAAATCTAGCTATTCTTCTAGTCTCTCAACTTTCAAATCACAAAAAAACAAAACATGTTTTTACTTTCTCATTTTTTATTATTATTTCCATTTCAACAATATGGATCCGGTTATAATAATTAAGAGCCTTAATATTATATTTGAAATATCTATTTTAATAGTCAAATTTAAAATAGTAATAATAAATTATTAGTGATGTATAATTTATCAAAGATAGAATAATAATATCAATTATTTATTTAGTATAATATTAATATTTTTACTACTATAAATTCTATTTGATAAATATAAATATACATACTAAATTTTCTTTGAGTAAAAATAAGTTATACTTTTTCACATTTCTATCATATCTCTCTCTCTTAAATTTGATATATCACATAGCGTTAATATAGTTCAATTAGGTTAAGTTTATAAATATTATCATAATTTAATTCAAATATATGACTCTTCTTAACACGTTATCAGCATGATCGTTTCTATCAGAAATTTTTACTATACTAGAAGTAGGTAATGATTTTGTAGTTTTGATGATAATTATCGTCTTATCACTACTAGCCATAGCTTGGTTTATTAGTAGAGGTTTTTGAATTATTTGTAGTCATTAATTTTGTAATTGAATAAATTGATTTTTGTTTTTGTTTTTTGCTTATGCATTAAATATTGATTATGTTCATTTGAATTATAGATATAATCATGTCAAATCTTAAACATCAATTCAAAATTCTAAGCATAATTGGGGACAACTTCTATCAATAATAATAATTAGATTTAAAATTCCTTTAATTATGCCGATTTACAAATCTGTTATTTACCTAGTTTGTAGTCAAAAGTTAATAGCTACATTAGTGGAAAATCAATAGGAGATTTGTTACCTTGATTTATTCCAAATTAGGTTTATCAAACCTGTATATATACACTACTGTAAACTAATGAAATTATTCACTTTTCTATATTCACTCTTCTATATGGTATCAGTTGGAAACGATTCAGCCCTATCCTTCTAATTCAGAACGTCGTTTCTCATTCCTGCTGTCAACATCGTCTCCCATGGCCTCCGATAGTTCCCACTACATCACCAACCCCTATGAGCCATCCAAACCCTTTGTGTGCATCACTCTTAGCAGTGTCACCAAGCTGCTTCCCACCAATTATCTTAATTGGAAACTCCAAGTTGAAGTTTTCCTTGATGGCTTTGATCTCCTAAAATATCCAGATGGATCTTTCCCCGCGCCGCCGGCAACTATCTCTACCACTGCAACACCCTCAGTGACGACAACAAATCCTGCTTATCAAACATGGCGTCGACAAGATCGCCTCATCTATGGCGTTATCCTCACCACTCTCTCCAATGAAGTGGCCTCTCTAGTGTCTCAGACAAAGACTTCGCATAGTCTTTGGACTCTTCTCAAAAACACATATGCCAAGGCCTCTCGCAGCCATCTCAAGCAACTCAAAGAGCGTCTTCGAATGGCTTCCAAAGGTACCCAATCCATCACAACCTATATGCACTCTCTGAAGCAAACAGCAGACCTTCTTGCTTCACTCAGATCTCCTGTTTCGGTTGAAGACATGACTGACCATGTTTTGCGTGGTCTCGACAACGGCTACAGAGCAGTCATTGATGGAATAAATGCAAGGGATATCCCAATTAACTTTGATGATCTCCTTGAGAAACTTCTCATCCAAGAACTCTCTATTGTTGCTGCTCAGAGACAAACTCCTGCCCCGGTTATAGCTTTGAATGCTCAGGCTCGACCCAACTATAACAACAAGCATCGGTCTGGTCAATTCCCTGCACCGTCTAATCAACACACCAGCAATCGCAAACCATTTCTTGGACGCTGTCAGTGGTGCAATGTCAAAGGACATGTTCTATCTCAGTGCCAACTCTTCAAGCAGCAACATCCTGGTATCCTGCCACCGTCTCAAAACTTTATTGCTCACACTGGATCGGCTCAGGCCAACATTGCAGCTGCTGGTCCATCTCATACTGATTTCTTGGTTGATAGTGGAGCAACACATCATGTAACCAACGATCTTGCAAATATGGCACTTCATCATCCGTACACTGGTCCTGACTCGCTGTTCATGGGCAATGGTTCAGGTTTAAACATCTCTCATTCTGAAACACTTTTAATTCATGATTTATCCTTGTCTAATGCTCTGTGTGTTCCTTCCATGAAACAACAAATAATTTCTGTCTCTAAACTTACCAAACAGACTGACTCTGTTGTTGTTTTCCTGCCAAACTCCTTTCATGTAAAGAACTTGCAGACAGGCCAAATAACCCATAAGGGCTCATGTGTGGATGGACTTTATCTCTGGCCCACCTCCTCACCATCTGTCCATACCGTCCGCGCGGAATCCTCTGCATCATGGCACCATAGGCTTGGGCACCCCTCATCCTCTATCTTTAAATTTATTCAACAACATTTTTCTTTGGGTTCAAATAAATTCCCACAATCCGATTGTAATTCATGTCAAATTAGTAAGAGTCACAAACTTCCTTTTCATGAATCCACTCTTAAATCTTCTTATCCATTAGAAATAATTTTTTCAGATGTATGGACTTCTCCTGTTTTATCTATTGATGGTCTTCGTTACTATTGCATGTTTGTGGATCATTTTACTCGTTATATCTGGCTATATCCAATAAAACACAAATCTGATGTCCAAAATATATTTCCCAAATTTAAATCACTAGTTGAAAATTTTTATCAGCACAAAATCAAAATCTTATACACAGATAATGGTGGTGAATACATTGGACTTCGTCCATTTTTAAGCACTCATGGTATAAGTCACCACACCACCCCACCTCATACACCTGAACACAATGGAATCTCTGAACGCCGGAATCGTCACATTGCCGAAACCGGCCTCTCTCTTCTTCACCATTCGGGCTTGCCCCTCACCTATTGGCCTCACGCCATGACTACTGTAGCCTACCTCATAAATCGTCTCCCAACTCCAATTCTTGGGTACAAGTCACCTTATTCCAAATTACTCCACATTAGCCCGGATTATCATAAATTAAAATGTTTTGGATGTTTGTGTTTTCCATGGATTAAACCATATGCTAACCATAAACTTGCACCAAAGTCTGCTATGTGTGTTTTTGTAGGTTATTCGGCGGATCAACACGCGTATTTGTGTCTCGATCCCACAACTGGAAGGATTTATACCTCTCGCCATGTGAAGTTCGTGGAATACAAATTCCCATACAGCTCTCTGGTAGCTCAATCTAATTCACATACAGAACCACAAACAAGCCCACTTCAACTCTCTATTTTACCGCCCCTAGCTTAACCTATTGACAATACCACTCTAAACCCACCGGAAAACTTATCCGCTGCCCATACCACTCCATCTGTCACCCACTTACCAGATTTGGCTCAAACATTAACCTCAAATGAACCCACCAATACTACTCAAACTTCCCCTTCAAACTCCCAACCCTCCCCCCAACCTTCTCCACCACCCATCAACCCAAACCCAAGACAACAAACCAATGCTGGTGGGATCATCACCCCGTCTAAAAACAACATCATCAAACCTCTTACAAAGCTCAACCTACACGTTCGATCCTCCTCTCCCATTGAACCCAACACCATCACTCA